AACGCTCTCTGGTTTCATTTAAAAGAGTCGATCATCAGATATTGTCCAAGATTAACCTTCAGGGTGGATATAGCTCGCTAGCAGCTTCGCACCGACGACCTATCCACGTCATCATTTACCCAGAATGCTTTGTGTGGAAATAAAATGGTTCAGTGCATGTTAAAATATATTTTAAATATTTACTAAACTAAACATCCACAGTATTTTTACAGTCTTTATTTTACAGTTAAAATAAATGTTTATCAAATAAAGTCTAATGTTACAACTAATCGTGGATGCCTTTAAAACTGTAAGACTCTTATTGTGAAAGTGTTCGTGGATCAGCTCACCTTTGCAGCCCAGTTCACCAGCCAGGTGGGAATCATCCCACCAGGGTTGTCAAAGTAGTTCATGAAAACTGAAAGACACGACAGTTAGCCCTTCAGCTCCAGCTAACAAAGACTTCATTTATTRAAGGGGGACGGGGGACGTCCTTTAGTCCCACCTTTAGTCCCCCCGGCTCCGTTGCCCTCCAGGGCCACGCTCTGCTTGTAGTCTCTGACCCGTAGGACGCTCTTCTTCTCCTCGCACGCCGTCTCCGGGGAGCTTCTGGCCAAGACCACCCAGATCTTCCTCCCGTCCACMTCCAGGTCTCTCCTCTCCCTCACGTAGATGTACTGAGGACAGAACTGTTAGGGACCATGGATCTGTTGACAGGACTCCATAAACCAGAGACAGAGTGGAGGCGGGACATGTGAGAGGTGAAGGATACGTCTCTGTTGGACATGGGGAACGGGTACTTCACTTCCCAGTAGATCACTCTTTGTCCATCAATGTCCATTTCTCTGAGCTCTGAATAAAAAAAGACAAAAAGGACAGAGACCGAGAGACGGACTTTATCATTTGTCTTTGTCTTTGCGTCGCTAACCGTTTACTAGGGCTGTGAATTGGCAAGAATTTGGCGATACGATACATATCATGACGGGTCACAATACGATATATCCCGATATATTTCAATACTGTAAACAAGGCGATATATTGCGATATTTTTGGTCCAAAAATATTCTCTAGTTAGCTTTTTGTGTTAACAGGGAACAAAACAGTTGGACCTTATACAGTGAGTGTTAAACTTTCATTATTAGTTGTTTCTGAGTTTCTGAAA